GAGTCCTTTGGAAGGAGCTTCCAGGGACCTCTGAAGCCACAAGACACTTGCTAAAAGCCCCCTAGCTAATTGACTGTGCCCTCCAAGGCAGAGATGTCGTCTCCCTTTCTTCCATAGACACAGTCTAGCCCCCTATGCTAAACGAGAGCCACCTTTGGAGACAGCAGATGGGAAATCCCAACCAAATGTGTCCTCAGCTAGTTTACCCCACTTTCTAAAGGACCTGGATTGAGTCTGAAGATCACTGATACTTTCCTGGGTCTAAGAAACTTTAATGCTTAAGTGTTGGTATTTCTACCCTTCAAGTACAACCCCGTTTAGGTGGGTGGGCCCCAGAGGTTCCTATGTGAAACTGTGGGTTGCCCAGAGGCAGCTTCTTGCACAGCAAACCCCTAGAAATGCCAACACTATTGTTCTGGGTTAGCATAAAGATTTTTTTCTGGTCAAATGAAAAAATTTTACCGAACAGAATTGATGATTATGACTGTTAAAGTAATTTAATTTAAATGTATCAGATAGGATTTCTTGGCCTGTATCCCTTTCTTTATAAGAACGTATACACAGGGCACCTGAGTGGCTCAGAGGGTTAAGCCTCTGCCTTTGGCTCAGGTCATGATCTTGGGGTCCTGGGATTGAGCCCTGCATCGGGCTCTCTGCTCAGCAGGGAACCTGCTCCCCTCTGCCTGCCTCTCTGCCTCCTTGTGATCTGTCAAATAAATAAATAAAATCTTAAAAAAAAAAAAAGAATGTATACACACCCGTAAAAGCAAGAACCCCAGGGTCCTCACCAGTCTGTTTGTATTCCTGTGTTTGGCATGTCTTCTTGACTGTTAAAAATTTGGATCCAGGGGAACCTGGGTGGCTCAGTCAGTTAAGCATCTGTCTCTTTTTTTTTTTTTTAAAGATTTTTATTTATTTATTTGACAGACAGAGATCACAAGTAGGAAGAGAAGCTGGCAGAGAGAGAGGGGGGGGGATGCAGGCTCCCCGCTGAGCAGAAAGCCCGATGCGGTGCTCAATCCCAGGACCCTAGGATCATGACCTGAGCTGAAGGCAGAGGCTTTAACCCACTGAGCCACCCAGGCACCCCAAGCATCGGACTCTTGATCTCAGCTCAGGTTTTGATCTCAGGGTTGTGAGTTCAAGCCCCATGTTGGGCTCCACACTGGGTGTGGAGCCTACTTAACAAAAACAAACAAAAAACAGATCTGGAAGTTAAATGTTGATTTAACCTGCCATAGATGGGACTAGAGACAGAGGTGGGAATGCTGGACTATTACTTGTCTGTATGGTATTCTTTGCAATCCCAAGCAAATTATAGTTCTAGTGCTTATCGTGTTCTCCTCTGTGCTTTTTCCAATTGTGTATACTCATAAATGTAGACATTAACATTGCATGTTGAATTTTTTAAAAGGTGTATTACTCAGTAGAAGACATTGAAGCTTCCAGTTGTAGGAGCAGCACTGACAGCTGGAAGGGAGTCTCCTGGGTTCCTGGAGGTTATGTTGTAGTCTGCGATCTGATGGCCTGGGTTTGAATTCTGGCTCTGACACTTACTGGGTGACTCCATGCAACTTACTCAGCCTCTCTAGTTCTTATCTGTAATAGGAGGATAATACCTACCCCAGAGGGCTATAGTGAGGACTAACAGAATTCATATATGTAAGGCTGCCCAACTCTGTGCCTAGTACATGGTCACGTAAACCAATATTAACTATCGTTATTAAATCTGAAGTATGACCAGATTGGTTTGTGGAATGGCACGCTGACTGTGAGTGTGAGAATCAAGTGAGGAGGCTAATGGAATTCAATTCCTTCCTTCTCTTCCTGCTTGTTGTCGTACTGATTAACAGTGAGCTGGTCCGACAGCAAGCACAGCTGAAGGGAGAGGAGAAGCAGGGGCTGGAGGCCATGTCCCCTTGAATAACTGAACTGCTGGGTTTTAAAATGAGAAGCCAAGGTAACAGGACCTAACCTCATGAATTCACATAAGGCTCTGCAACTTGCCGCCCGTGGAACATTCACATTCTCATTTTTTTTAAAAGATTTTATTTATTTATTTGACAGGGAGAGACACAGCAAGAGAGGGAACACAAGCAGGGGGAGTGGGAGAGGGAGAAGCAAGCTTCCTGCTGAGCAGGGATCCCAATGTGGGGCTCAGTCCCAGGACCCTGGGATCGTGACCTGAGCCAAAGGCAGACGCCTAATGACTGAGCCACCCAGGTGCCCCGATTTCTCATTTCATCTCCATAGTTTCTCTGGACATAGAGCAGGTGTCGTGGTCCCCAGTTTACAGAGAGGGATGCTGAGGCTCAGCAAAGGGAGTTCCTTGGCCAAGGTCCCCGACTAGAGCCCTGGCTTCTGGATGCTGGGTCCAGTGCCTTTTCTACACAGCCTCTCAGTGACTCTGTAGACCCGGCATTAAGGGTGCCTGGGAAGTCGGGAAGGCCTGTCAGAACTGCTTCTGTTCTTTCTTCCTCCTAGAAGGGTCAGGAATGAGCAGTTCTACAAGTCATATCCCAGGGAAAGGCCTCATGTGTGCAGATGCTCTAGACCTAAAACTATGTGCTTTGGATTTATGTCAAAGGGAAGGCAGGGAGCTAGGCAGAGGAGAAAGGGGAAGAGAAGTGGTCATGGTTTCATACTTGGCTCACCGGAACCTCTTCTACAGACCACCCTAAGCCAAGGAGAGGAAGGGTGTTGAGGGGTACCTATGGTTGGGGCCTGTGTGAATTACTCAAGTGTATTATGAAAAAGAATAACCAGTGGTGTGTGTCTTTAGGACAAGATGGCAAACGTGTAGATGTGTGCCTCGACTGTGCCTTCTTTACCCATGGACACATGGCGAATTGACCACAGTCTTTCCCACTGAGCCTTGGAATCCTCAACCCAGGGATCCAGGCAGTGGCTACCAGTCAGATCTGTTAAATGAGGGAGAACCCACTGGCTGTTCCTCTTTTAAGGGGTTTCCCTTAGTGCAGTGAGGAGTCACATTTATTGTTGAATTAATGCGTCCTTTGTTGACATCTAGGTAATTCTAAGGTTCTTGGTAGGGGCAATGATATTTCTGTTGCCTTTTTTTTTTTTTTTTAAGATTCTTATTTATTTGACTCACAGAGATCACAAGTAGGCAGAAAGGCAGGCAGAGAGAGGAGGAAGCAGGCTCCTCGCTGAGAGAGTCCGATGCGGGGCTCGATCGCAGGACCCCGGGATCATGACCTGAGCTGAAGGCAGAGGCTTTAACCCACTGAGCCACCCAGTCACTCCGTGATATTTCTGTTTTATCAGCAATTGAAATATCGTCATTCATTTGACACTTTCACCTCGCTGTGTCACCAAGCAGCTCTTCAACTAAAAAATGGGACATCAAAATACTTGCCATCTGTGTTCACTGTAGCCATCTTTTCTCTCTCTTTAGAGGCGAATGTTATCTTGGGCTTGTTCCGCTATGTGAGAGGGTGACAGCAGGAGGAGAAACAGGCTTCTCTCTTCCCCCAAGCATACACGAGATCGCTCCACAGTGTCCAGGCTAGCGGAGACGTGCTTCTCTCGCCTCACCCCTCCAAGTCAATGGTGGCCCGTTGAGACAGCTGCAGTGCTCTGGGCTCGAAGGGGAAAGCTTGTGTGTCTACAGCTGGTCACGCCCGGCTTGCCAGGCCCCACGTAGAATATGACCAAGGGCCTGGCAGATGATCTTGTCCAGAGTGTGTTCACAGGACTCTGTGAGACCCTCAGGAGTTGGGGTTGGAGAACTTCACTGGAAAAGCATTTTTTCGACTGGGACTTATGGTTTCCTACTGTCAGCATTTGGGCGGGGGATGGGAAGAAGGGGAAGGGTAGCAGGGCATTAGGGAGGCAATGCAAAGCAAACAGAATGGTCCATCTTACTGTAGTGGCTTCATGCAGTTAGCTGGGATCCCAGCACCATTCAGTGAAGTTGCCTGAAAGTGACCAGTCGAGAGGGTCACCGTGTGAGAACATCAGGGCCACCGTGTGAGAACGTCAGGGCCACGGGAGACTAAATCGGAGGGAGGAGCTGTGGGACGGAAGCACGATGATCACAGGCAGGACCCAGGGGTGGCCAAGGCCTTGGCTCCCTGCCAACACCAAGGCTTTTCTTTCATATTGATCAGGCCCAGCAAACGATACTTAGTTTTCAAGCAAAGACCATTCAGTACTTTGAAAAGATGTTTCCTGGGTATTTATTGTGAGTATCCCCGAAGATAATGATAGAGCCTTTGGAAAATGCAAAAAGATAAAAAGGAAAAAATTTACCCATAACCACACTGCCTGAAGCAATATTCTTAAAATTTGGATGTATCTCATTCAAAGTCTTTTTTGCCATGGAGTTGTGGATAAACTTTAATAAAATCTGTATCATAATGAAAATGCAATTTTCACCATGCTCTTTTTATACTTAGGTACATGTTTCTATATCAAGTCACTCAAAATACTATTTTAAGTGGGTGTATAAGATCCCATCTTACAGATGCACCATAATTTAACCAAAAAAATTAAATTTTTCAGTGGCTTTCACATTTTTACATGTGCATTATAAATAACAGCAGCACTTGGTTTTTGGGAAGAAAATATAGAGGGGGTAGATTTTTGATGTCTTAATGGAACAGTCAGCATGTTCATTGTATTATGGCTGACATCCTGGGGGGGGTGTGTGTGTGTGTGTGTGTGTGTGTTTGTGTATGTATACGATATTATTCTCCATTGGTGGTGTGTGGTGCCATGTTTTGATACTTAAAAGTAGAGAGTCTCCTGGATCCCCAATAAAACCTAGCCCCTTGGGCACCAGTCCATTGAAGGACTGACATTTCCATCCAGTATGTTCATAAACATGGTTGTAGGGATGGTTGACTCCAGTGGGAAATCTGTAGCTGCTGTGCTGAGTCCTATTAAATGTTGATGAATTTGGATCGGCTGTCTTTGGTTCTCTTCCTGCTCCTGGGCCATTTGGCGCTCACACTGTACTCTCCTCTCTCCTCTAGTTACTGGGGCTTCCGGATGCTGACGATGATGCGTTTGAAGAGTACAGTGCAGACGTGGAAGAGGAGGAGCCAGAGGCGGACCACCCCCAAATGGGGGTCAGTCAGCAGTAACCTTCCGAGGGCTCCCACCTGAGAAGGAGTGTGGACCCCCTGGTACCTGAGGTGGGGTCGTGTGCTCCTGAGTTAGCATCTTTTGCATTAGCACTTCGAAACAGGACGTCTGACTCCCAGCATCCAAATTCAAACTAAGTACCTTTTTATTGACCGCAAAATATCTGGGATGAGCTTTGCTCAGAAGTGACCTGAATTTTACTCCCGTTTCAGTGGGTTTTTATGGGGTTGTCTCGGTAGCCTTTGCCATTTTGAATTTAGAGTCCATTTTGTGGCTGACTGTTCTCTCTTGAGTTTGTGTTGGAGAACTACCATTCGCTGACTCGAATGTAGAGAACTCTGAATGTATCAAGGATATGTTTTGAGTCCTCACAGGTGACATTATTGAGGGAAAGCATGACAGAGAAGAAATGCAGTCTGCACTTTTTATGTACTTTTTAAGTGTCCATAAGTGAAGGAATTTGCTTATAAAGCATGAATTTTAATATCTAGTCATTAAACTGCACAAATGCAAATACAAGAGCAGAAAGGGATAATCACTTAGCTTTGGACGAAGAAGGGAAGAGAGGCAGAGAAGCCTTTGCTGAAGCGTTCTGCCATTACTATGTTACCTGGATAGATAGCAACGGGTTCATGGTTGGTATAAGCATTACTTGCAAGTTCAGTTATTTTAAAACATGCTAATTCCAAAGCCACTTTTAAAATCTAATAGTGGAAAATATCAATGGGGTGACATAAATGATTGATTTCTTTAAAATATCTATAAACCGTCCCACATATGAAATGAAACATTCACATTCTCTCTTTATAACCAGATGGCAACTTGTTAAATCATGAAAACATTCAGAATCCAAGTGCCACTTAAACTTTGAAGCCATAGATAAATTTAATGGGGGAAATAAACCAGGATAAACAGTTTTTTTAAACTTATAATGGAATCTTTCTTTACTTTCTTAATTTGTCTTTTATTCCTTAAAAAAGAAAAGGTCAAGAAAAGGATCCCACTGTATAATTTATTTAAAAAACTGTAATCAAGTCCTTGGACGAACCTAACAGAAGTGAATTTTTAAAGCGATATCAAATTGGGACTCTTTCAGTCGTGGGTTAGCTTGGTTCAGATGGGAAGTTTCAATGATCAAAATACTAAGACAACTCCCTGAAACAGCTACTTAATAATTGGAAACACTGCCGTCACTTAGCCAACAAATACTTACAGGGGAAATCCTTTGTAATGCTTACATGGAATTATTTAAAGTATTCATTTTCTTGGACCCTTCTGGATCTCTCAAAGCAGAATGCCTCTTTCACAGCCCTTGACCAAACATAGCATCTGGGGTGGAAATGTTATTAACATGCATACACATGGCTGTTATGTTGTCATAGTTTGGGACTTAAAAAACAAAAACAAAAAAGCAGCAGCAGCGAGCACAGAGCTTCCGGGAGTCTTCTATATCTTCCAGGCCTGTCAGTGTTAACCTGATTCTATCACCATTTTCTATTTGATTGACTGGTGCCATGAAGAGTGCGGCTGCTAGTGGTAGAACAGGGTACTGCAGTTTTAAGTCATGGGGAGAACAGTACAGCGGTTTCCCTCCATGCTTCAGTACCCACATTTTTTCTTTTTTTGGAAAAACGTATGGAAGGTTAATTTCACGTGAAATGAATTTCCTTCCGAGTAGCCTATTCCCACCACAAACCTTGATGTTTCCTGCAGCAGGTGAGCATGTTCTGTGCTCTGCTGCTTTGCCTGTCTTCCCATTGACTGAGTACCTGGGCGCAGGAAGTTATGAGCTGCGTTCTGTAGATAGCGCTGGGGTTTGGTAACCCTCTGTTTTAACACAATAGGCTGAAGGAATGACTTCTGCCACTGACTGAGGTGAAGAAGTTTGACTAGCTTGCTCCATTGGAAGGTAAACTGGAATTTTACACATAGAGGTTTAGCAGCTCAATTTACATATGTTTGAGAATGGAATGGACATTAATATAAAATGTATTTTATGAAAAAGCGTTTAGGCTTTGACCAAATGCATTTTGGTATTATTATGTTAATGTTCTATTTATAAACACTGAACTGAGATCAAGTCAGCCATTCAGTGGGCTGAGGAGAGATCTCCTCTTTGTTCTGCCCCAGGAATTGAGGATAACAGTACTGTGTGTCGCTTATTTTCATGGCAAAACCCCAGAAGGCATTAGCAGATAGAACCGTTTCCTCCAAAACCTCCCTTTTTCTGACTGTGCCCCTCCCCAGCTGCCCTTGCTGCTGCATGTGCCTGCGCTGGCTCCCACCGGCTGCGGCTGCGGGTCCACAGTCCGGGGTGTGCGTGTGGCGTCAGAGCTTGCCCGGTGCAGAGCGCCCCCCGACAGCCAGCAAGGCAGGCGGCCGTCTTTGCTAAGGAAGAGGTTCTGTGGTTAGACGAATTCCTGACTTTCACAAACAGATAAACACTTAAGAAGCGTTAGTTTGGTGCGGTGGGAAGAGCATGGACCTGGGAATTAGGAGGGAGACCTGGATTCTAGCCCTGGCTCTGCCAGGGACTGCGTGACCTTGGGCAAATCCCCTGACTCGTCTGAAACAAGGGCTGTTTGCCCTTCTGCTTTCACCCACTGTCATTCCCTAACTGCCTTATGGTATGTGTGTGTGCTAAGAGCAATGGTCAAGGACACTTTTAGGGAAAGGAGAAAGAAATACATTTTGGATCTTGCGGAGATGCTGTCCTGAGCATGCTGGCCAAGGACTACCTTGGAATAGGTTTCTGATGTTCTATGAGTGTCGGGACCCTCGAGCCTGATCCTGAGGGGCTGATGACTTCCGGTCCCTTAGACGGAGGACACAGGCCCAGAGATACAGAAACGTACTTGTCCCAGATGTGCAGGCCCTGTCGGCCGAAGGCGTGGCTTTCCCTTGTGCCCTGACAGACTGCGGCTTTGGAAGTGGAATGAATTTAACTTAACTGAGAGAGGAAATTTTGCATGAAGAAGAGCAGGGAGAGGGTGAAAGAGGAGTACTTTGACTTTTTGCCATGTTGTCCAGGAGAGAGAAAGAAGAGAGAGACTGTGTGTGTGTGAGCGTGTGAGTGTGTGTGAACTTTGGGGGGAGAGGATGATTGATGGCTTATTGATCACTGTGGGCCAGCTGTGAAATCCTGCCTGTGATAACCTTACCAAACCTTGATGCCAGGTTTGAGTGAATCACAGAGACATTTTTCTTATTGCCGCCTAGTCACTGGCTCTGCCTGACAGTCACACTGAGCACACTTTGGGAAACCAGAGAATGAGTTAGGGAGCCAGGCAGGGAGGTAGGACCCCCTACACGACGCCTGCCACACTCTGGCTCAGTTACACTCATGCCTCACAGGCTCATAGCAGCATATAGGACTTTGGGGTTTTTTGTGTGTTTTGGATTTTTTTTATATGACTAGAACAGGAGAGTCTCTTATTTAGGAATCCTCCCGTCTTGGTGCCAGATTTAGGTTTCCAGGGTCCTTAAGTGAAAAATTTCTCTCCTCTCATAGCTACTGTCATTTTTCACATACAAATAGAAACCTTTCCTTCAGCACAATGACATCTCTAAAGATTGTGTCTGTCTCATAAGAGCACAAAGTGTATGGACCTCGGGGAGCTGGGCTTCCCAGCATCATTGGAATTTATATTTTAGAAATCTCCCTTGCATATTAAAATTCCCAAGTTGGGAAACAGATACGAACAAACCTGATTTTCTGTGGTTCAAGAGGCACAGAGGAATAGGCAGGACTTAATCTGCAGTGGGAGGAGATGAGAAAGGATGGGGGAGTTAGTGTCTAATTCTTTAAAAAATAATAATAATAAAAAGCTGGAAGACAGGTATTGTGCACGGTACAAGAAAACTGTTTTCAGGGCTATCCCACTAGGAGCTGGCTTTCCTCGAAGGGACCGCCTGTGCGTTGAGAGGCAAGGCCTGTGTTGGGGATGGATTTGCGGCTTTACAAATGCCTGGCAGCCAAGGAGACAGCAGGTGTCCCACAAAGGTGGTGGAGTTCTCCTCAGCAAACCAGCTGTTAGCCAGAGAACCCTGTCTTTCCAGAGTGCAACCACATGTGCAGGCTCCAGTCACCTGGCAGGCAGCAGGTGAACCGGACTTGATCTTGCTCTCAGTGTGGAGGAGGCCATGGGTCAGGAATGCCCCCAGGGGCTGGAGGGCAGAGCCCGCCTACTCCACTTTTCAGGGTTGAAGAAAGAGCACAATTAAAACTCAAGTGCATCACAGATCCTTCTTCCTTAGAAGGACTGTCAACCCCAAAGAGGGGCCATTGCCTATTACTTAGTCTTCAGATTACCAGAGAAGCCCATTTTTTTTTTTTTTTTTTTTTTTTTTTTTGGTATGAAACATGAATCCTCTTCCACAAAGACCCAACTAGTTATCTTGGTTTTGTGACACCAGGAATGACCTGAAAGGCTGAAGCCTTTTAGATGTTATTCAGAATATCTAAAACTTGCCAGGCCGCCCGTAGCCTCTGGTGTCCATGGCAACGTGGGGTCCGTGGTAAATGTCTATAGCTCACGTTCCCCTGGGTAAATTGTTACATAAGATGGTGTCGTCGATATTTTTATTTAAATTTGTATTACAAAAATAGAGGACTGTGAGCATCACACGTTAGAAACCTTTACAGCACTGTGTGGCTAAATAGACCCAAGCTGTCGAAAGTGTGTGCCAGGCCACGTAAAAATAAACACTTCATTTACTGAGAACTGTATTCAAGTTACTCAGTCGCACCGAGAAAGCAGATAGTCTGTTCTTTGTACAGCTGCCTTTCCCTGGTTCATTCTTCTGTTTCGCTTTTGTTTCTTAAGCATCGTTTTTTCACTCTGAGTCCCTTCTGACAGCAAGGCGGGTAAAGATACAGCAGTCCTGTCACCTTTTTAGAGGAGAAAGCAAATTGTCCGTTCTCGGGGAAGATCGGGAACGATCTGTGAGCCAGTCTTCGTTTGGCTAGGAGAGCAGAGTTTAGCCATCTACATGAGAAGCAAAATCAAGGAACAGTTTGGGGGTTCTTTTTTCCTTAGGCAAAAATGTTTCATGCAGGGTGTGTATGTTTTCTTCGCCTTTATATTTCCTTTCCAAGAAATCTCTTGTAAATGACAAAACTGTGAAATGGGTTGCCAAAAAGACTTGTTACCCTTTGTTTTAGATGCCTCGAGCAGTGTAAGCCCGAAAGTGAACCCTGTCCTCATCTGCTCCGTCCTCCCTCCCCGGGGAGTGAGGATCTCATCCACCAATGTAATTACCATACGCTTGCTATTAAAGAGCCTTCCAAATCTGGTGATGTTTGCCTCTTTTTTACGCCCTCCGCGGTGTTTGGTCCATGGGAAAGGAGGGACAGAGAATGAGGATCGCCAGCCAGGTCTGTGGTTGGCGATCTTGGGGCTGGGGTTGCGGGGGGCCGTCGGGGAGCAGCTGGGGTGGGAGGGAGGGAGCAGGTCATTACGGAAACCACTGGCATGGTTCAGGTGTTAGTAATTTAAGACACGCACGTACCTGTTGATGTGGCTGGTAGTGAGGGATTTTCCAGCTTTCCTTCAAGCCAGTACTTGAGGGGCATATACGAGGACCCTGATTTTTCTCTCATGGTGAGACACCACGGGCAATTAGAAAGCTGTGGTTGCTCTGTGACAACAGGACACTGTTTCCCCATGACTGCCCTCCCGGTGATTGTTCTTCAGTAAACAGTGCATCTGAAGGCTAAATCAGGAGTTGGTGGTAAATCCCGTTATTTGATTAAGAACAAGCTTCTTTCCCCAAATGAATAGGTCTCCAGAGATTGTGAGATGAGATTTGAGTTTGCCTTAGCAGACGCAGGTTGGGGGGTGGGGGGGTGCGCACGTGCGCGCTCACTAACTTCCTTGGTGGTTCTTGGTTCGGGACAAGACTCTCGTCAGAGATTGGACCTGAGTGGTGGGCTGTGTGCGAGCCTTCTGAGCCCCACTCATCAAATATTCTGGCTTCAGTGGGATGGGGACGTGGTCTTCCACAGACAAAGCCATTCTTCTGGGGGAATTTCTTTGTTACTGTTATTTGATCCCTTGCACAGATAACCTTCATAAAATGTAGCTTGGCTCCTTTTTCTAAATGCTGGGGCTGGTGTTAGAAAGACCCACATTTTCCAGTTTGCAGTGAATCACTCTGGAATCTGTTGGCTGGGGAAAATGATTCTAGCCAGTGTCCTCCCTGACCACTGTGTGGCCGTTGGCATGTCAGCTCTCCCCACCCCTGACCTTTGTTCGCTCATCTGTAAAAATCAGAGTACACTCTCATTTCCAAGTCCCCTCCAGGCACTAGCATTGTGGGAATGTATCTTGTCTTGGCTAGTGGGGTTAGAGAGGGTGGAAAACAAAGTTTATAAAGAAAATGCTGTCTCATGAAAC